GTATCTTCCATGAAGCCTCTCCTCTATTGTGCTTATCATGCAATCTGAGCCCAGCTCATAATCCCCTTGTTTTGGCTCTCTCTGTGCATTTCCTTCAGCCCAAGCTCTTCATTCCTGATCCTCCGAGCTCATTCTCTGCTACGTTTCTTGGAAATCTCAATTTTATCTCTAAGGTGGTCTTCAGTTCTGGCTGAATACTCGCTTTCTAATTGAAACCAAATGTCCATCAGCGTAACAAAGCAAAAGCTACAAGCTGTCACACTTTTGGAACAGAGAACTGTGCCGTGAATTATCATCGGAAATGAAATATAAATCAGGGACAGGAAGCAAGAAATGGAGCTGATGCTTTCACTGGACTAGATGTCCCCGTATCTGGTGGTGCCGGGGGAGTCATCACTGGGGCGAAGTAACCGTGAAGTTCCAGGCTATGGTGAAACGTATTTGTGGACCTCAACAGAGAACGTGAGAAACTGTCTGGAATAAAACCTGCACCAACAAAGTGGCTGAAATCAAAGCTCTCTGCTGTATTTTATGAATACTTGCTGTTGAAACACAGCTTCACCTGGTTTACAAAACTGCACCCAAAAGTTTCCAAAAAAAAAAAAGGTTCTGACAATGAAACTACCCAGGAGATTCTACCACTTGGAGACCTTTTTTTGATTAAAATTTGTTTTTAGCCACACACACCTGACATGGCTTTTGCAAAGGCTCTTAACTCTCTCTGTAGAATTTGCCATTTACATCAGGGTGCTCAACACATGGCCCAAGCCCTCTGATGTGTCCCGTGACCACAAACCAGGGAAGTGCATGCCGAGGGTTGCCAACCCATTGACTGTTATCTGGGTTTGCTGACCCCCCATCCCAGAGCATCAGAATGCATTACGCCGACAGTGGTCAAAGCAGGCAGCCGCTGAGGGAGCAGAAGTCGCATTAGCAGATGCTTCCTCTGTAGAGCCGGCTCCGGTCTCAGGTGAAGTGATATCAAATGCACTCCAACTGGGACCTTTCTAGCAGCCTGGAGATGGAGAGCAATGCCAGCAGAACCTGGAAGAGGAAAAGGTGGTCAGTGTATTAAACAAAACATGCACTACACTTCTGCAATGGGCATATATCACCTATTAAAGGGTTAACAACTATCAGGCTGCTTTCATACTGATCAGAGGGTGCAGCGCAGTTCACCTGAGGCTTTCCTATGGGTTACCTGCACTGAGCCATCAAATTCTTTAATATCCTGAGGGTTTTGTTCTCTTTCTCTCATGGAAGAGTTTTTGTGCCCTTTCAGGTGTACCAAACCCGCAAGATATAATAAGGCCCCATGTACACGGGACACTTCTGAACGATGGAAATCGACTGCTGGAAAACGTAGGTTAAAAAACGTCTGTTTAGCCGCCTTTGTATAATGCGTTTAAGCGTGTTTTGCGTTTAGAAGCGTTTAACCATTTGCCGCCCGCCCTATGGCCGAAAGGCGGCCGGCAAATGTCATCAGCGTTCCGGGTGGACGCCATATGGCGTCCTCCCGCACATGCACAGATTGCGCTCCTGCAGAGCCGCGCAGCGGCGGGATCTGTCACCGGCCGTCTACCTCGGACACGGCCGATGACAGATCTGAGTATCGGCCCCCGTTGCCGGTACCATACGACCTGCTGTGACCAATCACAGTAGGTCACATGACAGTTGTATACAATGGATGGCTTAATTCATGCCATCCATTGTATACTAGTGTCTAGCTGTGAATGGTCACAGCGATCACATGCACTACTTTGCAAAAAGGGGTCATTTGGGGGATATCTGTACTGTTCTGACATTCTTGGACCTCTAGAAATCAGGACACCATTTCGCACAACCAGGCCACACAATGGGAGACCTCAATGTTTTAGTACTTAAAGGAAATTTCAAATCCATTCAGGAAACTTTTGAACTAAGAATGATAATTCTATTTGACACAAGAGATAAGGGCCTGAATTTGGACATGGGATTCCTCAATCATTATCCGACATTTATATGACTATTAGCTGTAGCTTGACTCCCTCTGTGTGAGTGTAGTATCCCCCCCTCCCTTTGACTGCATCTTATCTCTAGCCTCCTTTTTTTTTTTTTTTTTTTCTTTCATCTCTTCTAGCATTCTACATAGTACTGCTTAGACCTTGAAGAAGGGGACATTCCCCGAAAGCTTGTCCTCAAAATTATATGTTCGTGCAAATAAAAAAATTATCACGGACAGTACTCAATTGTTTCATTTTCTGAAAAATTATGACAAAAAAAATACAACTTCAACTTATGAAGTACGTCGGACTGTCTACTTTGCAAAAAGGGGTCATTTGGGGGATATCTGTACGGTTCTGAGATTCTTGGACCTCAAGAAATTAGATTGGCTGTCAGTACTTCAGGATTGATCAATATTCAGATCTATACCATAGTTTGTGAACTCTATAACTTTCCTACAAACTAAATAATACATCCTAATTTGGGTTATTTTCACCAAAGACATGTAGCAGAATACATCTTGGCCTAAATTTATGAAGAACAATTATTTATTTGCAAACTTTTATAACAGAAACAAAGACAAACGTGTTTTTTTTTCAAAATTTTTGGTCTTTTTATGTTAATTTAGCAAAAAATAAAAACCCCAGCGGTGATTAAATACCACCAAAAGAAAGCTCTAGTTGTGTGAAGAAAATGATAAAATTTTAGTTTGGGTACAATGTTGTATGACCGCGCAATTGTCAAAGTGTGAGAGCGCTGAAACATGAAAAATGGCCTGGGCAGGAAGGGGGTAAAATTGCCCGGTATTGAATTGGTTAAAGATAAGCACAGGAGAACCTCCCAAATGCCCAGAATGCACTGAAAAGTGGTAAATTATTAACTATTTCAGACTGTTTCAGAGAAATACAGAGAGTAGAAGCAGAGACAGCAGTATGTGTTGAGATCAGCTTAGGTGTGAGTTGCTCATTAACATATCTTTTGTTTCCAAGGGTGGGAAAGGTGTCTGGTGGAGGGAGTCATTAAGGTCACCTGGCAGGGGGTCTTCATGAGGAATTTGAGGTGTGAATGGTCATTAACATATCTTTTGTTTCCAAGGGTGGGAGAGGTCTGAGGTGTGAATTGGTCATTACAATGTGTGACAAGCTTGGTAGGAACATCCTGTGTTCAGTGTTTTGTCCATCTGAGTACCGTGAAAACACTTTGCATGCATTTTTCATGATGAAAAAAGGCTCAGGACAGCATCGGGTACTGGAAGAGTTAAAAAAAAATTTCAAATGCAAACGCTTATAAACGCAATTTGCCACATTTACAAGCATTTTGCGTTTGAAACGCTGATAAAATCGACTGCTAAACACAAATTTTCTGCGTTCAAAAAAACGACTGTAAACTCAAATGCCTGTAAACGAAGATGTGTACATGGACACATAGGAAAACATTAGGGAGAGTTCAGGGGCTGCTGAAAAAAATGCTGAACAACTCCTGAACGTGAGTTTTATCAGCTGCAGTGTACGAGTCCTAAGTCTGTGGCAAAGCGCAGCTAACCCACAGGAAAGACGTCTATGAAGTTTATGGCAAAGTGCAACTAACACGGGGTGCGGGCAATCAGTATGAAAGCAGCCTTACAGGGGGGGCTCAGGACAGTAAGTTTACCAGTTTGCAGTTTGGGGGCAGTCTCAATGGCACTCCACTTCATGCTCCAGGGGGCCAGTGTGGCCTCCCTGTTACATTCAGTTTTACACTCAGACAGGGAGGGCTGCATATACAGAAACCAATCCTCTCCATTTTCCTCCTGCAACCACTGAAAACCTGCTTCTCCTCCTCCCCCTCCTGAAAGCATTCAGCGGGCGGCCGGGGGAAAATGTTCAGTATACCATTCAAAATAAATAAATAAAATCGAAATTCTGAGCCATTTCATTTCATTGTGGCCCTTACCTGGTTACCAAACCCTTTAAATGACCCTCGCTCTTCAAAAGGTTAAGCTCCTTTGATATACATAAAGACACTATGGGAGACCTGAGACTATTTCTGCAGCAGGACAGACTTTTCCTGCAGCAGGATTTAAAGTGGAACTACACTTCATCTGAGCACCACAAATGCTATTCAATTTATTTTTAATATTCCACGCAAATTCCCCCATCCTTCCATATCTCCATGCTTTATTTTGCTAAGCAGTCACTTTGTAAAACACACCCCGCTAGCATTTCTGGATGTGACCATCTTGATTAAGGGCTGATTCATGTAGCATTTACTTCCTGGAATCCATCTGCCCTTAGCTCAGGCTTGCCGGCAGGAGGAAGTGCTTAGCTCAGCAAACCCCTCTTCCCCTCCTGAAGACTCCTGGGATGTATTACATCATTTGCCTAGGCATGGAAACCAGGAAGTAACTGAAGAAATGTAAAAAAAGAAAGTTGAACACAAGTAAAAATGATATACATTACTATGTATTTACAAATACTAGCAGCATAAGGATTCAAAATAGTCAACGTTGATTGAAAGAGTGAAGCTCCACTTTAACTGCTTAGGTGAGTTTTTAATGGGTTTTTTTTTTTTTAATTTACTTAAAGCAGAGCTCCACCCAAAAGGGGAAGTTCCGCTTTAAGGATTGCTCCCCCGATCCCCATTAAGGATTGGCACCTTTGGGGAGCGAGTACCTAAATTTGACAGGAACCCGCTCCCACTTCCAGTCCAATCGCCTAGGCCAGTGATGGCGAACCCGTGGCACGCGTGCCACAGCGCACGCCGAGCCTTATCTATGGGCACGCCAGAGAATCCAGCAGCGCGCTGTCTTCCCGGCTGTAGTGTGCGTGACAGGGTCCCACGTGCGCATGCGCAGGTCCCTTTGTGAATGGTAAGGCGGTACCTGGGACACATGACAGATCCCAGAAGCTGCCGGACCAATCACAAAGCGCAGCGCTTCTCGCGCATGCGCACTGGGCATCCGGCTGTGAAGCGCCCACACTACAGAAGCCGGGAAGACAGCGCGCGGCATAAAGGAAAGTAAGATAAAATAAAAACTCTGCGGAAGTAAGAGCGGGTATCTGTAAAATTCAGGTACCCGCTCCCCCTCCCTCCCCCTCAGCAGTGAAGTCCGCAGCTATCACATCCCGGCTGTGCCCACATCTCCTGTGCTGTCCGCAGAAGATCCCTGTACTGTGTCCGCAGTCTCTGGTCATCCCTGTACTGTGTCCGCAGTCTCTGGTCATCCCTGTACTGTGTCCGCAGTCTCTGGTCATCCCTGTACTGTGTCCGCAGTCTCTGGTCATCCCTGTACTGTGTCCGCAGTCTCTGGTCATCCCTGTAAGTCTCTGGTCATACCCTGTACTGTGTCCGCAGTCTCTGGTCATCTCCTGTACTGTGTCCGCAGTCTCTGGTCATCTCCTGTACTGTGTCCCGCAGTCTCTGGTCATCTCCTGTACTGTGTTCCGCAGTCTCTGGTCATCTCCTGTACTGTGTCCGCAGTCTCTGGTCATCCCTGTACTGTGTCCGCAGTCTTTCATCCCTGTACTGTGTCCGCAGTCTCTGGTCATCCCTGTACTTGTCCGCAGTCTCTGGTTTACTGATGGTATCCCTGTAGTGGTCCTCCGCTGGTCACCCTGTACTGTGTCCGCAGTCATACTGGTCATCCCTGTACTCCGCAGCTCCTGAGGTCATCCCTGTACTGTGTCCGCAGTCTCTGGTCATTGTAAGCTGGTCATCCCTGTACTGTGTCCGCACTCATCCCTGTATGTCCGCAGTCTCTGGTCATCCCTGTACTGTGTCCGCAGTCTCTGGTCAGCCCTGTACTGTGTCCGCAGTCTCTGGTCATCCCTGTACTGTGTCCGCAGTCTCTTGGTCATCCCTGTACTGTTAATTAGTTTGCACTACTGTACGAGTTGTTTTTTCTAAACCAAAAGCTCGATATTCAGGTTTCATTGCAGTGTTGGCACTTTGAAAGAAATAATAGTTTTTTTATAATTGGGACTCGGGCTCAAAAAGGCTCACTGGCCTACGGCGATCGGATCAGAAGGTGTCCTCCCTCCCTGTAGTCCTTTTTGGGACACGCAGGTACATACACCATTCATGAAGCTCAGCACTACTCATGCGCAGTGGGTACCCGGCTGTGAAGCTGCAAGCTATCACACACTGAAGATGCCGGCCTCCTACAGGACGGCCAGTGAAACGAGCTGCGGGGGATATACCGCGGGAGGACAGGTAAGTGGTTGTTTTTTTAAAAGTCAGCAGCTACAGTTTTTGTAGCAGCGGACTTTTATTTTTTGATAGGTTAAGTGGAACTCCGCTTTACACAATCCCATACTTCTCTTTTAACCTGCTCCTGAGGACTTGAATAGGTGAGCTTTAATGCTTAGTTGCCACTACACATACAGTATGTGCCCATGAGGAAAAGCTTTTCTGTGCTCAGCCAAGGCGCGTTCCCTGCTCAGCGACCAAGTTTTCACCGACTGCTCCCAATCATAGTTTATAATTGGGAGCTACCAATCATGTGACCGCTGTACATCACATCGATCACATCATCAACATGACTACCTTGGCCTCCCGGCATTCAGAAGGACTGGCAGGCAGTGGCAGCAAGGGGATAAGGAACTTTTTGCTGAGAGATACCAATTCTGCCATTGCCAAGTTATATTGAAAAATACTGTTCTGATGATCCAGTGGCTGAAGGCCTTTCTGCGGCACCGACGTTGAACAAAACCGCAGAAAAGGAGTTTCATCTTTCTCTGCCGCTTGTTTCAGGTCAGTATTAAAGTTTGTAGGAGATCGGCATTAGCAGCTCCATATTTGTCTCGGGATGGTTTCTTTTAAAGTTTAACTGAAGTTTTTTTTACTATAGCGCTCCTATCATAGCAGGGAGCACCATAAATAACAGGATTACAATGTCTGACAGAAAATTGTCATATCAGTTTAAGAATACCTTATTGCCACTGATACAGCCTGTGCTCAGCCACTAGCCTGCAGAGAAGTACTGTGAAAGCAACTGTGTCACTGCAGTGGTCCATATGCCCCCACCATCCCATTCAGTAAGATCAATATCCCTACAATGCACAGCTATTGGTCTACTGAGCAGGCGAGGAGGTGGACTGCTGCAGCAAACCTGCTGCTCTCTCACAAAGAAAGCTGCAAGATATATGAGTGACAATCCTACACTGATCTGACAGGTAAGACATTGAAAACCTGTTATTTTGGTGCACTTCAAAACAATGGGTACAATTTTGTAAAAGACTTCAAAAGGAGCTTTAAATCATACCCAATGTTTAAAGCCCAACTGTGACAATCCTCCCGAGGACAGCAGTACCACTGCACTGCTGTACCTCATCTTCACCACAAGATGTCCATAGTCTTCTGGGATGAATGACTCCCCATCTTCTAACCATGGCGCCCTGCACTTACAGATGCAGAGGGTGGGGCTGATGTAACCCAGGGGCGGACTGACAACTCATGGGGCCCCCGGGCAATAGGGGAACATGGGGCCCCTGTGTCCTTGCCCAAACTCAAAAATGCCTATGATAAAGGTACCAGGGGCATCTCATAGGGGCCCCCTACTGACTCCGGGCCCTCGGGCAAAGCCCGAGTTTCCAAATGGTCAGTCCGCCCCTGATGTAACCTAAGAAGACCAAAAGAGAATAGTCCTCCAAGATGTTTGGAACAACTTACCTGACGAGATCCTTCAAAAACTGTGTGCACCTAGAAGAATCTGTTGGCAGCACTGTGGCTAAATGGTTAGCACTTCCGCCTGGCAGTACTCGGGTCGTCGGTTCAAATCCCAACCACGGCACCACCTGCCTGGAGTTTGCATGTTCTCCCTGTGCCTGTGTGGGTTTCTTCCGGGTACTCCGGTTTCCTCCCACCCTCCAAAGACATGCTGGTAGGTTAATTGGCCCCTGTCTAAATTGTCCCTAGTATGTGTATGTATGAATGTGAGTTAGGGACCTTAGATTGTACGCCCCTTGAGGGTTAGGGACTGATGTGAATGTACAATATATATGTAAAGTGCTGTGTAAATTGATGGCGCTATATAAGTACCTGAAATAAAGAAGAATCGAAGAATTGAAGCTGGTTTGAAAGCAAAGATTGGACACTCCAAATATTGATTGGATTTCTCTTCTGTTAATTTACTTTCCATTTGACAAATTGATAAAAATAAACGATTAACACTTCTATTTCTGAAAGCATTCTTAATTTATAGCAATAGGCACAAATATAAGGCCTATAACTTTTGTACAATACTGTACCTCTAAACATTCTGGCATGTACCCAGGTTGGAAACCATGCAAGTGGATCCCTCTTCACCCTGCCACTCAGAATGCTCATCTAAAACCAAGGGTGGAATCTATTTCTGATAACTTAGAGAAAAAAAAACAAAACAAGGCGTACTGTACTCTCCTTGTGCATTAACACAAAAAAAACAAAAATGTATTAAAAAGATGCAAAAACATACTCACAAGCCATAAAGGTCGTAAAAACAGACACAAGAGAAGTCAAAAGGTGGCAATAGTGGATAAGAGCGTCCTCGGATAAAGTGCTAACGCGTTTCGGGAGTCAAACTCCCTTCCTCAGAGCTATTGCTCTGAGGAAGGGAGTTCGACTCCCGAAATGTGTTAGCACTTTATCCGAGGACGCATGGTGTCCATGATTGGCACCTTTTGACTTCTTGTCTCTCTTTTTATGACCTTTATAGTAAAATAATATACAAGTAGGAACAGCGCCAAACAAAAATAAAATTCAAATCCAAAAATCAAGCTGCTAGACCTCACCCTCTACCAGAGGTAATAATGACAAAAATCAAAAGAAAAGGTAGCGCTAATTAAGCAAACATATTATTGTGACAATGATACATAAACCAAAAAATAAAGTGTGCAAATATTCATATAACAATATATAAATGCTCAAAACCAAAAATATTCAATAAATGATTCAAATAAAAATGTCTCTAATATTCTTCAATTCAAAAGCTTTATAATTGTTGAAAATCCACCACCAATTGTTGCAAGACTCCATCACCAATAGAATTAAATGAACTCACCAGAGCAAATTGCTAGTAAAATTATAAACTAGCAAAATCGCTCTGGGAACAATGATCTGCAGACTGATGACCGACAACAGAAGAGGTTTCTTATAATGTACAGATCTTCATATAACATACACTCAAAAAGGAAGAGAACAGAGCAGGAAATAGTGTGATACTGTAAAGCAGGTTGTTATAAAAAGCTTGTTTTATCCAAACTCCTCATATTTTCAAGTGTCATAAGCGGACATTAGCATAGACAGCAAAAAAACATAATAATGCCGCTATGGCTCTGAGGAAGGGAGTTCGACTCCCGAAACGCGTTAGCACTTTATCCGAGGACACATGCTGTCAACGAATCCTGGCCCTCCACCACCTCCCTCACCCACACAACACCCTCCCACCTTCACGTCCTGCCGCAACCCCCGCAACTTAGTATCTGTCCCCCTGCTCCCTAAAATCCCCCCCCCCCGTTTTCATGTGCACTCCTGAACGCCCCGATCGGTGTGCAACAAGCTTACCGCCATCCACGACCTCTTTGTTTCCCGCTCCCTCAACCTCCTAGCGATTACGGAAACCTGTATCCAGCCCACTGACTCTACCTCCCCTGCTGCTCTCTCCTACGGAGGTCTCACCTGGACCCAGTCACCCAGGCCCAACGGTTGTAAAAAAAGGTGGTGGGGTTGGTCTGCTCCTGTCACCGCAGAGCACCTTCCGAGTTATCCCAAACCCCCCCTCCCTATCCTTCTCCTCTTTCGAGGCCCACTGCGTCCGACTATTCTCCCCAACCCCCCTGAAGATTGCTGTGATATACCGACCTCCTGGATCAATATCCCGCTTCCTGGATGACTTTTCCTCTTGCCTACCCTTCTTCCTCTCCTCTGAGCTACCCACCATCATCCTTGGGGATTTCAACATCCCTGTCAACCTCGACACCCGGCCACATCCCATCTCCTCCACTTAACCTCCTCCTTTGCACTTGCACAGTGCATACAATCCACCACCCACTCCGACGGTAATATCCTTGACCTCGTCTTCTCCAACCGCTGCTGCGCTCCCCACAACCTCACTAACACCCCCCTTCCCTCTCTCTGACCACAACCTGATCACCTTCTCTATCTCCTCGTCCTCCAACACCTACCCCTCCAAATGTCACACTACTACTAGCCGTAACCTCCGCAACCTTAACCCTGCCCCCCTCCACTCTGCAGCTGATCATCCTCCCCCTGTCCTGCCCTGACTTGGCTATGACTGCCTACAACAACGCGCTGTCAACAGCCCTTGACTCACTAGCGCCTTTAAACCACATGCAACATCAGACCCCGACTGCTCCAGCCCTGGCAGACTGATCACACCAAAACCCTCAAACAACACAGTCGTGCCCTGGAGCGACTATGGCGCAAAACAAAATCCCCAACAAGCCTTCACCCCGCTACAAATCTGCCTTCCACACCTACACCTCCTCCCTCCACGCAGCCAAACAAGCCTACTTCCTGACCCTCACCAAGACCCTCTCCTCCAATCCTCGCCGACTCTTATCCACCTTCAACTCTCTACTCTCGCCACCCCCACCTCCACCTAGCAC